CTTGGCAAGGGGAGAAATATGTAAGGTAAAAACCCAACTGTTTGTCTCACGTACGCTCCCTCCCCGAAACGTGACATTCCTCCCAGCTTCATCAGTGGTGTGAATTTTTCCATTCTGCTTTCACATCTTGAGCTTATCTGGAAAGAATACAGAGTGGGAAATGCCTGGCTGCCTTTGCTAGGGGAAGGTTTTGCTGTTCTAATAAAGACCAGGTTGTTTCCTAGTATCTGGAATGTGCAGAAGGATTCAGTAGGCGAAAAATGGGCATTGCTCGGAGTTGCTTTAAATTCTCCAGCTTTGTGGGGCTTTAGAAAACTTTTGGAGGTAATACAGGCCTGATCCACATCCCACTGAAGCCAATGGAGCTTTTATATCTATCATTTTTGATTGGTTTTGGATTGGGCCCAAAATGAAATGTGCTTTCCTCATAATTCAAACTGTTTCTTTTTACTGGTAGGCGCCCAGTCAGTGGGAAATCTAGGCTAGGTAAGCAAAAAAATGTCCTCTTTTAAACTCATATTTCCCCATCTCTGGAGGGATCAGGGTTCAGTAACACTCAGCCCAGAATGGTTCTGTAAAACTGAACATTGAAAGTGTCTAGTTCTGTTGTGAATGAATAGCACACTGCCCTCAGGTGGGCTTTAAATTGGGCAAAAACCAGCACTCCTGCATCTCCCTTCCATACTGTGGGATCCCCCGGCCATCGCTGACATTATCCCACTGGATTGCCCCAAGCAGCTGCCTGTGACTCTGAGTTCAAGTTCCCTTTCTCCACTCACTCTGTGCTGTGTTTTCTTTGAACAGCCAGGTTACTTTTAGCATTAAATGCTTTCGGAAAGGAGCACAGTGTAGCCTACTGTGAGTGAATGTCCTTATTTAGGCAGTGCGAGGAGGAGCAACTTAGCTGGATGCTGTCTCAGCTGATCAGGAAAAGCAAGCAGGCAATGTTACTTGCTCCACTCGCTCCCGTGCCCGGGGGCTGGGAGCTCAGCTCGGAACTCAAGGATTAATGGACTGATCCCCTAACAATTGGGACTTGTAAAACATACCCAGTCACAAGCCCCCTCCCTGGGTTTCCCCCTCTCTCTGCACCTCTCTCTCCCCTGACTGTGTCTGTAGGTGAACATGTGAGGTGGGAATAAATCATGCACACAGAAGAAGGACCGCCACCCAGCCAGGAGGATGACTCCTCAGCAGAAGTCTAATTTGCCGAAGGGGCAGAGCGAAGAAGATCTGAGATTGTGGATGCAGGAGTGGGGCAAGGCAAGTATCTGTCTGGCTTGTTAAAGGGGAGACAGGGCCCCAGGAGCTGTCTGAGACTCAGGGGGACATTCTGCTTTATCTACAGGACCTGGGTTTCCCTGCTAGAAGCAAATCCTAGTCCATCCATGCATTCCTTGCCCTGCTTCATTTTTCTCTCTCCCTTTGCTTTACTTTCCATCACCTCTGTTTACTAAGCCCATGTTTATTCATCCCTTCGTTTAGCTGTCTGAAAACTTTTTCCCTCTAAGTATCTTCAAGTTGCAGTGACTCCCTCTAATGTGTCCTGAGTTATGCTTTCCACACCAGATTTAACTTTCTCTGCTATTCATCTGGCTTGTAACCTGCCTTACCTGCCTATGCTGCTCCCAATTAAAGATCTGCAATAGGAGGGCATAGAAATATCTCCCTGTCCTCTACCACTGAGCACTAACATTCACAATGAATCTCTGTCAGCCACTAGGCTGTTTTACATCTAAAAACTGAAAGATTGAAAGATTATCCCTAACATCTGGAAAGTACCAAGTGTGGTTTTTGTCGGTCTCCCACTGACCCCAGTGGTATATATCTATACATTTCATGATATAATGTTGTTCCATTTGCACAAAGAAATATTAACCATCAAATATAGAGAGTGTAAGGGAGGATTGTAGATCCCACTGAATTCTAGACATCGGAAATGCTTCTTTATTCATTACTTCTGCACTTCTCACTTGACATTTTATAGTAAAGCTGTTAGCCCAGGTCTCCTATTCTGATATTTACCTTGGGTTTTTTAAATCGTGCCTGCCCATATCCCACCGACAGGTTCAGTTGGATGCAGATTTGTTCTTCCTGCTTTAAATTGTTCAATAGTATCCTTTTTTGTGAAACAGCTGATGTGTTCCACTCCAGAGGTGGCTGCGTTTCAGTGGCAGGGGAAATCCGTCCAAAGTAATTAATAACTGGGATCAAACCAGACAGAGAGATATGTAAATTCAGATGATGTTTCAGTTGTTGGGAAAATTCTGCCCTCCATCCATAGCACCAGACAAAGTTTCACACCTACTGAGCTAGGCAGGACTGCTTCCATGGTGAGGGGGAATGATGTGTCCTACCATACCTCTTAACAGAAACCTTTTTGTGGGGGAGGCAGGGAGATGCTGAAAGGGAAGGAGAGGCTGGATAGTGGTGCTTAGAGCAGGGGACTGGGAGCCAGGACTGCTTCATCCCACCCCTCATTCTGCTACCTGATTATTTCACTCACTTGTACCTCAGTTTTCCCAGCTGTAAAGCAGGAGCAATAACTCGACCCAGTTAAAACATGAAATTTGTGTTTTGGGGAAAATTTTAACTTTTCCCAATTTTGTGGCATTTTTTGTTGTTGTTTCGAATTGGAAGAAAGCAATAAATATTTTCAAAACCTCCTGAAAACTGGAATTTCAAACCCATTTTGTGTTAGAGGATAATCATATCA